TCTATGGTTCGAAATTCAGGTTTCGTCGCTTAGATTTCAGCACAAACTTGTCCACGATCTTCCAAGCTTGTTGATAAATATTAGTTAATCAAGAGAGATCAAACCTAGCTATTTATTTTAAATTCTTATCTAGTGGTTAACAAAGCCACCTTTTTCCTTAGATGTTGTTCGGTAGGTTAAGGTTTTGGAGGAGCAGAAAGGTGGTAGTATAAGTTTTGTTTAAATTAATTCAATTGGATGGTGTATTCTGAATATTTCAAACAAAAAATATTAACTAGCAGTCTGACTCCTCTATAAACTACATTCCATTATGTATCATAAATAATTAATCAGAATTAAAGAGACCGCATTCTCACATTCTAGAGCAAGCTGTTAGGCGGTTTCGACGTGAACTCCCAACTTCACCGGGTGCACAAATCATCGATCCTTTGGAATGGGATTATAACGGGAACTATAGTAACTCAATCGATGCAGCAGCTGGACGATTCAATGGAAAATATAATTATCAGAAGGTTTCTTTCCGACGTATTCCCAAGGAGGTAAATTGGGCTTTATTTCATAACAAGTAAACTTCATTATCTTCATTTTCTCTTGATTTCAAATAGCTGAAATAACAAAATTGGTGTCAATCTGAACAATTAGGTACGGGTGGCTATTAAGGCCAGTTTTAATGAAACTCGAGGCTTGAAATTAATTTTTCTCTGTAGGAAAAGATTCCCATATTAATATTTTCAAGGCCTTAAATTAAAACTTAATTCCATTGGAAATTTTACAAGTAGGACGAAAATAAAACAATAAAACATTTTGAATTCAAATGCTCTCTCAGGGAACTGAAATCCTTTCATGGATCAAATTTCTGACAATTACTTGTAAAATAATGAAGCATATTGCCTATACCAGAAAAAAGAGAGCTTCGACCAAAAATCAAATGAATTTCTTTAAAATGCTAGTAAAAATCGTAGATAGATAAAACTGGATGGCATTTTAAAATATATTTTTCTTCATGTTCCTTATTAAAGGATCCTAAATTGAAGATGTTGATTCATCATATCCATCTCTTGTATAAGCAGATATGGAAATCGATATGGATTAGGTCTTTCCTAACTTTCTGCTTTTCTATGAATGTCGCGGTCAATTTTGTTTGAAACCATTTTTGTTCACAAAAGC